ATTTGGAAGATGAACTTGAACATCACTAATTTGATGATGCTTACGATCTACACAACCTCGGACATCGCCTGGCTAGTGACAGTCGACTGGAGGGCCGGCGAAGCGATGTGCAAGGCCGTAAAATTCTTCGTCATCTTCTGCATGAGTATTAACTCGTACATCATCGTATGCTTGTCGGTATACTGTTTCATTTGTCACTGTATGAACAAGCACCCCTGTATCCTATACTGTTTCGCGTGGTTATTGGCTCTGGCCAACGCCCTACCGGAAGTGGCAAACTGGACACTGTTGAGGCCGTCGAAGATAACTAACTGGGAACAGTGCACATTGATGTGGTTAGTCTTGAGGTACCGGCGGGTCTTGCTGCACGAGTCCCCGTCTCGGGTCGAGTACATGTCTATCAATGTGTATAACATCTACCTGGGCATTGTCGTGTTTTGGATACCGGTGCTGCTGATTTTGCTCTTCTACCTATCATCATTATGCACTAAATGCGGCAATCGCTACCGGAGCCTCATTCAGTTGGAAAAACCGTCCGAAATTTCATTCTATCCCTGTCGATACGACGTGGACGATCGATCAGTAACCATTGCCTCGATTCCCAGCCGGTCATACGCCAAGCACTGTGCAATGACCAAAATCAAGCGGAAAACTTTCAACACCAGTCGACTGCTCATTCTGACCTATCTCTTGTGCTGGCTGCCGTACAACGCTTTCGCAATGTGGACTTCGAGTCATTACAGCAGTTACGAAAACTGGCACTCGTTCGTGACTTCGTTCTTGAGTTGTCTCCTGATTCTGAATTCCATAATCAATCCCATAATTTACTTGCGATGGAAAAGGTTATCACGGTAAATTCGTATGCTGGCTCGCACATTTCTAAATAATAACGCTACACGTCAAATAGTTGCGAAGTTTACTTAAATTGCATATGCTCCATATGCCGTCATGCTTGGACATAGAGGCGTGAAACTGCGTATGAATGTTCTACACATTAAAATTTAGCGAAAATAAAAATTGACCTTCATTTCTCTTTAGCAATTGTTACTCGCT